TTTCTGCAAATGCATTTTAATTTTAATTTTGCTTCCATATTCTCCCACTTGCACTGCCTTCTTAGTCTTGTCTTAGTCAAATTATGACTTTGGACAAATCCAAAAATTCCACTTACAAATTTGTGAGTAACACAACAGTGGATAAACATGATCCAATTTGAAGCCACCAAAAATTGCAGAATGAGTAGTCTGTCTTTGCAACATAGGTGTTTTTTACAGATGACATTTTGACATGTAACGGTAAGAAAATCCCTCCACTCTTTTGCTGTATAATATACTGCAAAGAAACAAAAGTTTGAAAAAATATATAAACGTGTGAATTAATCGTGTAAAAAAAAAAAAAGCCCTCAGTGTGTAAAGGCCTTTACACTTCGCTTGAATAGAACAGAACCATTGTTAATGTTATTAGTAACACCCATACTTTTCCTACTCTGGTCTAAATATCTGCTGTGAAAAGGCCTATTAAGAACCTACAAGTTCTAAGAAGAAGCATACATTTTGACAACATTGAACGGATTGAGTAAGGTGGTTGATCATCTCACCTACTGTTGCTGTGTGAAATAATGTCTGTAAGTTTAATATCTCAGTTATGCTGTGTGATATTTCCTACAGTATCTTTGTAGATAACAGTTACCCAAACCAAGAGATAAGAGAGCCAGGACTGTAATCTGTGACTCACATCTATAATCTCCTGCTGCTCTATTACCACCAAATAGGGGACAGGACAAAACACTTTTGTAATTTCTGGCCACAGGGATTTGTAGTGTCTCTCCTCATGCACTATACCTGGCAATAAGCAGCAGGGTTTCTTAGAGAAACTGAAATATGGCCTTGTTCTGTTGAGAAGTGGTGAGCTGTGTCTCTTTGCAGTTTTTCAGCGTGTTTTAGATAATTGTTTTTGTATCGCGGCCTGCATCATTTTTGTTTTGGTTCAGTCTATATTGTTTATAGCCAAAAAGCTCTGATAAACCCACTGCAGGCTTCTTCATAGGCACCAAATGGCAGGCAGACACAGTTAGCGATGAGCTAGTGGAGCATTTAGCAACTGAAGAGCCAGATAATTTCATCAGGATTTGGTGGAGAGTGAAACAGAGCTGAAAGGGGAGTGAATTTTGGATTTACATTAGTCAGGTCAACAGAAACTCCAAATTAATAAACAATGTTGCTCCATGTCTGCCTACTGTGTAAAGAAGCTGTTGATTGCATCAACTTTTCCATGTCAACCTATGTGAACAGACTCTTACTGCTGAAAAAATATATTGATGCAGATTTATCTATTATTAAAGGAGAATGCCAAGTACTAACATATTTTAATACAGTACATTACTATTTTAAAAGTTTGTAACTTTAACTTTAATAACTTTGATATATGCCTCAAATACAGTTTAACCTTAAGACATAGGAAACTGCAACTTTTTCTGCCCAGTGTAACACTTTCTGTAGTCTTTCATGTGTTTAGCTTGTAATTAGGAAATAGACTTGAGAGCAACTGAATGCAGTATGGTGTCAGGAACCATTGATTCTCACATTAAAATTAAAGGTTCTCATATCTTACTGACAGACTTGACACTTGACAATATTATCTAATCATAATCTCAAAGCCCCTATGTGTCGGATTTAAAAATTTCTGACTTCTATGGTTATTGTAAAAAAAAGGCACTGGGACTGCACACTAAACCAATACTTATGCCAGCAGAATAATTTTAAAGATTATATAATCACACAAAAATCCTACGGTGCACATTTTGGCTTTAAAACATTCTTCAGCATAACTTACTGTCAAACTGAGATAGAAATATTTGTATTTCAGACTTTTTAGTAGTTGTTTTATTTGTTTGGCTCTTAAACATATATATCAGTTGGCTGTAATTGTAGCTTTTATAGGCAATTAGTTTGAATACATGAGCTTGCAAAATTGCATTCATAGCGTCCAAAGTACCTCATGCAATGTGATGGCTTTAACTGAAAGGAAGACAACAGTTTTGAATTGAGCTCCAGTTCTGCTATTCTATCATTGACTTAGCTTTATTAGGAATTCAGGGCCAGTGCTGTAGTAAGAAGGCTTGCCATATGTGATGGAATGGTCACACTCTGAGGCTCTGCTCTTTGCAGCTTGATGGGAAAGTGTTTTTACGGCCTGTTGCCTATGGATACCGTGTGCAGTCTTGTGCTAGATATTGTGGTAAACTGTAGAATTTGTAACTTATAAAAACAAGGAGCAAGGATATAGAGATGTGGCACCAGTACCAGGATGGAGGAGAATAAGAGTGACAAGTTCATCAAAATAAAATTTGTAAATAAGGGCACAAAGGACAGCAAGGGTGCTTGCAGACAGTTCCCGTCTGATTATAAATAATAGGAAAATAAATCAAAGTTTTGATTTTGCCTATAGCTTCAACTCTGTTAATGACTTCCTGAAATGAATTGTGGCACAATTCATTTGTGATGTGTGGTCTGATCTCGCCTCCTTGCTGCAATCTCAAGTGGAAACAGACACAAGGGATGTGCAGTGAATACTGCATCAATACAGGATTTTGGCTCCCTATTCCCACTGGTCCAACCTTCTGGAACTCATTTGTTATAATCATAGGCATGACTTTCATGCCTATTAATACTGTGGCAGTGGAGCTCTGCCCTTATGTGAATCCTCCCTTTGTCCTTCCTTTCAGCATATTCTTGAAATGGTGACAAAGTGGCAAAGGAGGCATGTGGCAGCATTGGTTGGACTTTAAAGGTTTACATTTGGCAAGCTCTGTCTGTATCCACTATGCTCAACACAGGGAGCAGCTGCTGAGAAATCGCACTGTTACTTCAGCCCATCATGACTAGCCTCAGGGCATTCACAGGCCAGTCTGAGCTTGGCTTCAGGGCTATAGGGGAGAGTGCACTTAACTCAGCTGGCTGAAAGAGGCTTTCTGTACCAGGGGGAATCTGATATGGACACCAGCTGGCTGCAGGAACTTAAGTGAGATAAATTGCAAAGTAGTTAGTCTATCCTTCCCAGTTGAAGGTAACAGACAGAGGTTTATCTCCCAGGATATGCCTGTAGTCACACATGCTTGAGGGAATGAGGCAGGTTTGTATCCTGAGGTAGGACCTCAAAGATAACGTTAGCATGGAAACATTAAGATGCAGCATGTGCTCCAATATTTTAGAAAAGCTGTAAATATATGCAAACAAGGGAACATTTTGAAATGGTAGTCATATATTTGAAATTTTTTTTTCAAAAATACTTCTTCTGGTAGGAGTTCACTTATTTAATCTAAGATACAAAATATCATCCTCCCCCGCACCCTATTTCAAGTTTTCTTTATTGGAACCTTTGAGTTTAGTATGCCTGTTTTTAATTCATAACCCTAACCCTTAAATGAAAAATCCACTGTAAAATTTAAACATATTTAAAAAAAACTGGGCAACCATTAATTACACAGAATTTATTACTTAGAGAAATAGATTTTGTGTTTCTAATTGCAATGCAATTCTAGTGTGACTAATGATTCTGAAAATGAATTTCACCTCTAACAGTATTGTTATGAATAGTTTTTAATGGGCGATAAGTGAAAATACAGTAAAATAGAGGGGCTACTTTTTCCAGTAATGATAGCATTACTGGTAATTACTGATTAATATCTTCTTCTCCAGTCATTTTAATTTGGTGATAGTTGTGTGTGTACATGTCATCTTGTGTTGCCACTATGAGTGCTTAACAGGACAAAACAATAATATCATTATAATTTTCACTGTATTCCACTCCCTGTGGACAGTAGTAGCTGTTCTTTGGAAATTACGACGTGGTGTACCATGTTTTCATATGTATTACAGCACATTAATATTCTACATTCATCTTAGATAAAAACAACATCAGAGTTTGTGTCAATAACTCTGAATCAAATCCTGAAGTCCCCAACTCACTATACTTACACTGACATCCAGGAGGCATACAGAGAGAAAGCTGGAGAAACTCTTTACACAGTTATCTCAATTGTTATTGTTATTTTACTCTCCACCTAATACGCCAACACCCAGACGTGACTGCAACTGATGTCCTTAGGGGGGTTGTCAAAAAGCATTCTGGGAAATTGTGGAAAATGCCAACTGAAGTAGAAGCAGAGGAAACAGCTGGATGCAATGGGAGATCACCCAAAATAAACCCCAAATCTATTACTTACAGCAAAATATCTTTTCAACATGATGATATATAACATTGTATGTATTCAACATATTGTGTATCCAATGGTGTATTTTCCATCAAATTTATACAGTTTTGTGTGTGTTCCCTGTGGTTATAGGTATGAGCTCTTACAGAAGCAGCTTTTCCAGCTGGAAGAGGCGGAAGGAGGCTTTGACCAGTTCACACGCAGCTACAATACCTTCGGTGTGCACCGGCTGCCTGACAACAGACTGTTTTTTAAGGAGTGGGCTCCGGCTGCAGAGGCCCTCTTCCTCACTGGTGACTTCAGTAAGTAGCCTGAGGAGAAGTGTCAGCTCCTGAACAGCATGTCAGCAGTGTGATGTCCAGGTTGTTTCTCCAGAGCTTTCACTGAGTTTTATTGCTGCTCATTTATAAATGGCACATGTATGACAAAATTGACCCAATATGGATGTGAACACCCTGAAATTAGCATCAGAGCATCAGAGTTATTGCTTTTTGCTATCAATTAATTTCTTGCAAAATAGTGAGTCTTTTGTTTCCTCCTTTGTTTTTGTCACAACAGGCGTCCTCATTGTGTTTTAAAGATGCATGCAGCAAGCACATAGATAAAAGTATGCTTCATTCCAGTTGTATAATAACAATCAATTTGCAATATAAATCGTGTTACTACAAAGACTCTTTAATGTAGAGTTACATAAACTGTTGGGGCCAAAAAGGAAAAAGAGATTTCATTGCAAACAGAAAGGTTGCATATCTTCATGGTGCATTAAATAAGAAATTTGACATTTCTGCACTCAACACAAAAGGGCCAAAAATTAAGAAAAAGTGGAGCGAACTGCGGTACAAGGGTATCAGCCCTTTTGATCAACCAACCTGGGAGTAGGAAATGTGGAAAATATTGATTACACAGGATAAACTTGCATACTGAAGGGGGTTCTTTTGAATGTGGGAGTGTTTGTTAATATTTTAGTAGCTGGTTATTTCATCATTGCTGCAAAGTTGTTGAGTGAGTGCAACCTCTGTGTTTGCACTGAAATCTTCATTCCCTGCGGTCCCAACTTTGAAAGTAATTTCAGGTTAATAGTCTTTTGGGTGTTATTTTCAGTTAATGTGGGCTGTAAAAATGCAGCAAAATTATTTATTTTTGTCATCATTAACAAGATTAAATGAGACTTGCTTTCATCTATCAAATAGATATGCAAGGTAATACAAGCTCTTAGTTTTATTTTCCTTCTTTTTTCGTATCTTTTTTTCATTCCTTTATCATATATATTAATGCACTGAGCTCTATTACACATGCCAGTAGTAATATATTACTCTCCACGGAAAAACAAAAAATAGAAATACAAGAATAACAAGAATGATAGGGAAGGAAATTAGAGCTGTCCACATAACTCAAATACCATTTACAATGCCACACCACAGCACACTTGCCTCTGTGCCACAGCCATTCTGAACTGACACCCTGCAGGTAATGATAAAGGAAAGCAAAAGCTAATAGTAATACCCACAGATTGATACTGTGTGCCAAACCGGAGATTTGTCAATTTGTTTATTGTCCCTACACATTTTTTGTGCTAGTTAGTTCTGTTGTTGCCATTCCCTCTTTCCGTATTTCTCCTGTTCCTTTTCCTTTTTTAATTATCTTCCCAGGACCTTGGGCAGCAGCTCAATTCCAACATTCAATTCTGTGAGAGATTACATTTTGACACGGCTCAGTCATATTATTTGATTTCAATTTCATAGTAAATGTGGAAACAGCCCAGCAGCCCTAGTCATGAATATGGTGCAGGTTGGATGCATAATGCACTGTTTTTTTTTCAGAGGAGTTTAAGCAAAGGGAGATAAATAAATTGTGAAAAAATATGACTTGGCCGGCTTGTGAAAAGTGCTGGTATTGTGCCCGGTCACTTCTGGAGCATCTCCTGTGATTCATTTTCTATCCTGCCGTTGTTTTCGCTCATGAATAGCAAGCAGATATGGATTACTGAATAAAAACAACGTCCTAAATTGACATGCCAAGATGGCTGCCTTATAATAAATGTTTTGTGTCCTCATATATTCTTGTCAGTCAATGACAATTGGTAATGTGGTATCAGCAGGTCATGAATGTAATGCCTCTCTGGTATTCCCTCAGAGATATAATTAAATGAGCAGTTAAGTGGTATTTGATCAGTTTTTATTTTAGATGACTGATCTTGTTGCTTTGCTCACTGTTGCAACAGAATACAGGAGATCAGTGCAGAGTACAAAAACAACAAGAAAAAATTATGAAAGAGGTTTTAGATGAGACAGAGGGGGACAAATTGTGTAAAGATGGAGTGTAGAATTCAGAAAACCAAAGAGGCCCCGTGACCACAGGGGGATATTGAAATAGAGCAAAAGCCATAGTGGTGTATATCAGCTCAAGCTGTTGTTAGCAGAAGGCAAAGTGGCAACACACTGCTGTAATAAGGAAGAATGCCACTGTTAATTTTTTTATTTGTAATCAAAACTAATTAAAGTCCCTGTGGTTAGATTTTCAAATGTCTAAATTTGGCGACTCTTAGTAGTAAAATAAAAAAAAATACATTATAAACAACAAGAACTGACTGCAAAATTATTTATAAGAAGCTATAATTACATGAAAATTCCATGTATGTCATCTACCAAACAATGCATCACAGCTGTCGCAGTGTATTTTACAACTGTGTCAGGCTAATTTGCACATTGGCAACACAAAATAGAGACAAGAGGTAATTGTTTATGATTTTCAACCTGGGGTTCAAGACCTCACTTGGGTCACAAGACAGAGCTAAAGGGGTGGCAAGGTGAGGAGTGCAACAGGAAAAAAACAAACATTTCTACTCCAGAAGTGATGTATTTTTCAGATTTTTCCCAGAGGCCTGTGATTTCTTCATACCAAAAGACACCAAAGGGACAAGACAAATTAATGTACTGACTTGAGCTGCTCTGTCATAGGCAACTATGATCATGTGGCTTTCTCTGATCAGGACACAGCAAATCAGAAGTGATGTTTCGCTCTTTGTTGTAAACCAATTAGATTGATGTGTTTAAATCCTCTCTGTGTTCCCCCTTAGATGGCTGGGACAAATTCGCCCATCCCTACACCAAGAAAGAATTTGGCAAGTGGGAACTGATTCTACCGCCCAAGCATGACAAGTCTCCAGCTGTGGATCATAACACCAAACTCAAGGTAGAGAACAGAACATCTTCATACCTATTTTCACACCCTCAGCAGGTGTCATCTTGCCACGGCGGTACGAGGACTTGTCAGTGTAATGTACGAGGGAGATTCCCTGTCATGTGTGGTGTCTTATGAAATGAAGTGAAAATCTGGCGTGTCGCCGTCAACAACATGTCATACTCACAGTGCACAGAAGGGAGATTACTGTATGTACACAATCTGCACAGTGGAGGGTAGATACACCTAAGGAGCCCAACTGATGGTTTTTATTTCAGCTCCCGTCTGCGGCAGGTATCCCTCAGGACATGTGCCGCGTTTGTCGGTGCATAACACAGCCCACTGTGGCTGTAGATGATTGGTTTTTAGCTCTAGTAAATAATTCATCAGGGTTAAATACAAAAGAAGCACCTCCCATTATGCACTGTCTCCTAAGCAAACAGCATGGATGAGAAATAATCCTGAAATGAGATGCCAGGCGTGGAATGGATGGCTTCGCGGCGCCACTCTCCTTGGGACCGGGTCATCGTTGGCAGACTCCTGCGCCCTGGACAGGCTGCCCAGCTCCCATTGTCAACGGAGGTCAGTCTAAGGACGATAAGAAGCAGATGGAAACGCTGGCACCTGGCCTTTCCTTGTGCACCCCCGCTGCCTATGAATGGCTGTCTTGCTGTGAGTTCCACTTTAGAATTAGTTCCACAGCACTCCCTCGTGGAAGCACAAGCCTAGCTCCAATCACTCTCATGTAGAGCAGCTTGCCCTTCCATCCCCTTTGTTCAGGACCCAATTTGTCTCCATAAACAAGCAGTGTCCTTTTGTGGGTACAGTTTGCAATGATCTCTTTATGTTGAGAGTGTGCAAGACTTAAGATAAGTAAACCAAAGTGTTATCTAAGTGATCAAACACCCACTTTTCATCCACACCTAACTTCTCGCATATTGCTTGGCTCTTAGTTATTTTTCCTGTTTTTCCAAAGCACCCCCTCAGTCTGCTCAGCAGTCTGATTTTTCTTTAATGTGCCTAATGCTGGCCAATTTGTCTGAAGGACCACCGCTCTTTCAGGCTTTATGCCAGTCCATTTATCCAACTATCTTTTCCTAATCCTATAAACTATGAAGCATGTCATAAGGGGAGCCAGGCAGCTAACCCCCAGGTGGCCTGGCCATAATGAAAAAAACCCAGAGGGGGGTCTGGCCAATGGCTCACAGGCAGGTGGCATTGGAACAGTCATTACTTCACAACAGTAGCCAGAATTAGTTGGGTTCTAATGCCCGTTTCTGCAGGGGACAAAACAGGGTGAACACATACTGTGGGTAACACTACAGGATCGATTTCTTGGTGGGTTCTTCCAACTCTCACGCTGGCTTTCTCCTTTCTTATTTGACTGATGGAGGCAAAGTAACTTGTCAGTTAGATTTTCAAACTATACTTATTTGACCCCCTTCCAATCCTGAATTGCTGACATAATAGATGAGAGGCAAGGATAATGATTTAGATTTCCTATTTTTCTAAATTGCTCTCTCTCAAGATGGGCCAGGGAGCGGCTGTGTTAAAACTAACGGAGGAGTTGTTCACAAAAATAAAACACAGCATAATTACCATTGAATCCAGATTCACCACAACACGTACTCTGGTCAATACTGTAGCTTTTTGTCCTCTTGACCATATTATGTCTTCGGTGTGTCTGGGAGCCCACTACAATAGTTTTACAGCTGTGAGTTTTACATTGGAGAGCAGGGAGCTGCCTGCTGGAAGAGGGGCGGCTTTCATGTTGACACATTGAAAAATGTCTGGTTTATTGGTTGAACAATCTGCACAATCTTTTCTGTATAATGGATGGGGAGTAGCAGCACAGTTTTATGATGTAAGCATTTCATGGCTAGAAGATGTAAATAAATGCTGACTTTAAAATCACATACATCCAGGGACAGAAACACGCAGGAGTCACAGAGGACCTTGAAGCCTCCGATGATTTGTGGCCAGGCCTCTAAAACTAGAGGACTGTTATTTCTGGCAAATTATTTTCCTTTTTTGCAATTATAGTTTCACTTCTGCAGCACTTTTTTTTATTTTACTTTAGTTTGGATACTATTATCCTTTATAACTCCTCCCTGTAGGTTTTTAGTTTTTCTAATGCTACAGTGTGTATCATGTGGTCCATATGCTTTGTTCACTTATTAGACAATGTGTGTCCCCTTCCTCTCAGCTTATGTAAAGAGCCTGTAGTGTCTTTTGAATGTCCCCTCTCTATGTCATTGTTTAAGTGCCCTTGCTATAACATAACACTCATTTGTCTAATTTTCCCAGGTGGTAGTTCACACCAAGGAAGGTGAGCGTCTGTACCGGATCTCGCCATGGGCAAAATATGTGACCAGGGAGGAGAAATCTGTCATCTACGACTGGGTTCACTGGGATCCACCTCAGCCTTACATTGTAATGTATTATGTTAATGTATTTTATTTTTTTTTTTACATTAATTTAATAGAATTTATTATTTTATTAAAATCTGTATATGATTTATTTGTCTATTTTTATTTCAAAGGTAAAAAGCTATTAAAAAAAATTAGGATAAAAACTGAAACTGGATTTTGAAAACACCAGTGCTGTGCAATCATCGAGTGTGGTTTATTTTTCTTCATTTTCTATTTATTATGGAGCTGTTGATTTTGAAAGAGGACCTTGTTTAATGTAAACAGCGATGATCTCTGTCTTTTTGCAGCAGCAAATGCAACCCATTTTGGATGCCAGTGAAGTTAAAATTGAGGTGAAAAACAGTTTAAACTGAGAAAAAAAAATCTGGGTATTTTGAGGCTTAGTTGTAAAAACCTCATCACAACTTTTCAAGACATAATAAACACGGTTTTATAAAACTAATCTCTGCTAAAGTGACTGTATGTTGCATTTTCTCAGTGCCAGCTCTTAAAGTAGCTGCCCATGTTCTTGTTTCTTCCATCACAGCTTTAATTTCTTGCATTTTAAAACATACAGTTACATTTGAAACTGGCTTTACAACTCATATGTACAGCTGTTGTGGCCACTCTTAAAGCGGGTGCTTGATGCTGCTGAATTGAGGGGGTCTGAATGTGTCTCAATGCTACTTGACGTCCTCAGCTCAAGTGTGCACAAGCAAAACAATAAGAGGCTATTAAAGACCACCTTGCTTTCTTTATCGCTTGTTATTTGGCACCATTTTAATTAGAGGCGACCTCTTACTGGCAATATATTCGCTTTATTTACAAGTGGCTCAATCATGTGCTTCAAATAGTGGGTTCACAAGGCCTGGTGGGTAGCCATCAGGAAATTGCTTCTATGTATAAAACAAATCCCACTCCTGTTGTGTAACACAGACAGTGTGAATCATGAATCTTTTAATATTTAACATGTGCAGAACCATTATCAGCCTCAGTGGTAAGATATTGGTGCAGAGACCCAGAAAACCCACAGTGTCTTCATAATTACTCACCAAATGTACTGTATTTTAAGCCATTTTTAAGAAAAGGCTTCTGGACTCTGTCATGATTTTCTGTCCAATTCTGGTTTCCTCTCCAGCAAATCCATCCTCGGCCAAAGAAGCCCACGAGTCTGAGAATATACGAGGCCCACGTGGGCATCGCTTCACCTGAGGGAAAGATTGCCTCATACACCAACTTCAGAATCAACGTGCTGCCTCGTATAAAAGACCTGGGTAAGGCATGAGACCACATTACCTCCATGAGATTATTCTCTTCCCTTTTGGCTTCCCCTCTTATTTTGTTGGCTACTCAAGTCTGTAAATGGTGCACAGCAATCATCCTGCTGTGATCCTCTTCATTCAACTGTCAGTCAGCGCTTTTGTTGACTTGAGAACATTTTGTATCTTCTCCAGCTAAGAACAGAGAGGAAGTGAAGCATTAAGGTGATGTTTGTATATCCCTCCCTACACACCAAATCACAGTCAACAATGTGGATGGAAAAACAATAGTTAAGGGGTTCGTGAGCCATTTTTTTCCATAACTGCCATTGTCCAGTGTCATCTCTGTCAACACTGGTCCATAACCCAGCAGACATGCCATGCTGCTTTGAGTGCCACTGTTCTCCAGCAGCAGTATTTTCAGTGGCAGACCTGTCATACTCCCTCTGCACAAAACCACATCAGCAAGTCAACATCCTGTTTACTGGCATGACCTGAAGGGATCACTGACCATTGGGCAGTGTTTTGTAAAGAAGGCTCCACAGCACAAGTCACACACACCACATGGCAGTTATGGCTCCAAAACTGACAACTTCTTTCCATTTCCATGATCTTGACTCAGACAACCAATAGTAGACAAAAGCCATCTCCCTGCTCCTCATATCTTTCAGTTAACAATACCATACAGACTTTATTTCACATGATTACTCACTTCTGATATTTGTGTTTTTCTTACTTCATATCTAATGCATCTTTGTGAAATTAGTATAACAGCCAGGGGACAGATGGGACTTCCGGAAAGATTTTGATATTTTCCACTATTTTATAAAACAAATGAAGAGGCAAATGAGAAATGGTTTGCGCAGAAAGCAAAGTTCAAAACATAGATTAATTAATTAATTAATTATTATTTCATTAGAAAATATCAACATTATTGTGATAAGTGTGATTTTTAGCCATGTTAGCAACTTTATGGATGGCAATGTCAGCCTGCCTGTCGGTCCACCACAAATGGTATTTCTTTTGATATAATTCAGATTTAAACATTTCTTTTTGTAATTTATACTTGGTCTCTTCACTAAAAATGGGTGGACATAACATTATGGTCCAGTGTCATCCCAAACAACACAGATTTTGCCAGAGTGGGGTGCTATCATCAATTTTTTTTATTTATTAAATCATCTTGTCTCGCTATTCAAATTCATATATCAAATTTTCTTATTTAAAAAAAATGTTGTTTTCGAAGACAAATAGTTTCATATTAAACTTTTCAACTATGAATTATAAACAAATGAATCACCTTTTTCCTTTTATTACTAAATTTCTGGACTGGAAGATCATAGCTTGCAGCTATGATTAAGATTAGCTATACTCAAAAGAAATATCACCGTGTTTTCACTGAGCAGTATCTAACGTGATCTCATCATTTCACATGGGACTCATTAACTTTTTATGATAACTGAACTTACGATAAAGAGGTGGCTTCAAATGTGACTTTAACCTTATGGAACAGATCCTTGCCTTGGTTTGCAGTTCTGTTATTATGAGATGTGGCATTATTTTGCATTCAAATGCAGCCTGCTGCACTGACATTAAAAGGCACAGATATGACTGGCACAGCAATCTGATAAATGCTGTTTCCTTGGTTGTGTCATCCTGCTTAGTGGGAAAGGAAACTGCCAGAGTAAATGCTGTCAAAGAATCTACCTGCAGCCGCTGAGGGAGTCTGCACAATAGGATTCTCCAGGAGGCTAAACTCCACCGTCTCTAGTGACGGCTGCCTTTGCCTGCCATTTCATTTTCTTGACTGTGGAGAGAGTATATATATAAATATAAAAAAGAGAAACTTCCTCTCACCCCAGTGCTTTGTCACACTCCTTCAGAAGCCAAAGTTTTTTTTTTCTCTCTCTCGCCTGAAAAGAAGCTGCGATATAAATAAATAAGTCTGCTCCACACAACAGTGAAAAACCGCAGGGCCTCCCTCTGGAGTGCTCAGTGGCAGTTTAAAAGCCTGTTGTTCTCTTATTCATAGAAGCAGTTTTCGTAGGTCGTTTTGAAATGTTGTACACGACCTCCTGACTCTGATAGCTGGTGTTTCCCTGTAGCCACAGCTTGTCTTCACGATACCAGAGCTTGTGTCAAAAAGGAAATGCCTGGAGCTCATATATACAGTATGACTGACATGGGTCAAACAGTATTAAGTTGTAATGTGTCCTGATGCCTGCTGTACCAAATTAATATGGCCAAGCACATCAGAAAAGTAGGAACATTTTCAGACAGAGTTGTGTCTTTAAAGTTAGAATCTCTGAGTATTTATAAGAATTGAAAAATGACTGGCACTTCTTGTTTCATGCTGTTCGGCCACACAACCAACAACACACATAATAAAAATAATGTGTATTTTAACTGATGTTGATATGAAATGAGCAACTTGTGTTATTTTTAAGAAGAATCATAAGAAAATACGTGTTTAGTATTTCTATCAGTTACATAATGTTTGTTAAATAATCTGGCTCTGAACACATAAAATCTTTATAAAATAAAATCATGTTTTTTTCTGCTCTCTGCCCTCTGTATGCAGGTTACAATTGTATTCAGCTGATGGCTATCATGGAGCATGCCTACTATGCAAGCTTTGGATATCAGATTACAAGTTTCTTTGCTGCTTCCAGGTAAATGCTTGTCAATTTCCAGTATGGTTTATGTATTTTGTAAACACGTAATTTTGGATACTATTTATAGTATAGTATATTCTTTTAGTCATTCAATTTATTTGGATTCTGTAACAACCTGTCTGTATTGTAGCCTTCATTGTTAGTAGTCTGCCATTACTGTGCTGGTGTTTCAGAAGAAACAATATATGCATATATTGAATATGATGTGGAAGACATTCAATCAGCAAACCTCGGGATAAATAAAGTATCTATCTATCTATCTATCTAGCAAGTTCAGCATTACCATGCTGGAAGACATTGTTGACTGTCTTCTTCAGTCTTCTTTACTCAAAGAAAGTTATGTAGTGAATCCTTTTAGCCCTCTCTTTTGCTGTTTCCAGTTGTCAATACATTTCAAAAAGAACTTCTTGACCTGTATTGTTAAAACCACACAGGACAAATACTAGTCGCCAAATCAGTCAGGACTGAAGGTAAATTTATTATTTATCGTATATCGCATGCCATTTACACCACTTAACCTGTCTATTGCAGTATCTGCACTTCAATACAACTGCAGTCTTGGAGAAATTGGTGTTTACTGGGAGGATTTATCATAAAGACAAAACTGAGCGAGCAACTTCCTCCTTCATAGAAATAGATACCTCAAATCAAGGTTAGGAAGTCTGACACCAGAAATAATCTCTCTGTAAATACATTTGCTGTTAATCCATAGAGTGGTAGATAAAGGTAGACTTGTCAGAGTATTTATCTTCTTTCAGAGATCCTTCCTTTCTAGCTTAGAGTAGAGCACAAACCCAAAATGTAATGTATATAGTGTAATTTCACCCATGATTGATCTCTGTGTCATTTAAAACCTGAGCGGTTAAGTACCGGGAAGCAGGGTAGTACTGTCGCTATGTGTCCTGTTTTGCAAGTAAGTTGATATAATAATAGCTGGAAGGACAGACGGGACATTGTTGGACAATATGAGTAGTGTGTTTGTATATGGAGGTGTGTATGCATACATAACAGTTGTGGAGTGTCCCAAGAGTTCCACTGTCTCTTCTTTATTACCCTGTAAATTGTATTAAAAGATGGTAGAAGAGTTAGGATATTTTATAAAATATATCCTAGGAAGCTGTCTTGACAGTGTTACAAAGGATGATCTTCAGACAAATGATTTGAAGATTATGTTTGTGAATAATACGCTGCTCTATAGTCTTGTGGTTTGAATCACAAACACATTCTAATTAAAATAATTGCTGTCGATCAAAACATTTATTAAATTAAATATTTGCTCTGATTAGTCACAATGAATCACTTTTTTCCTTCTTAGAGGACCAGTGTGTAGGATTTTGTGGCATCTAGTAGTGTAGTTGCAGATTGCAATCCCCTTGCCTCCTCCATCCGTTCCAAGTGTATAGTGGAAACTACAGTGGCCGTGCGAAAAACTTGAAAGGCCCTACTATCTATCTTTCTCTGTTTAGTTTGTCTTTTCTGGACTTCTGTAAAAACTT